GATGTACTTCAGTTAGCTACAAAATATGTGTATTTAATCGACAAAAAGTATGTTGGGATACAGTAGCCCATGATGAGTGTAAAACAATTTTCTTAATCATCGATTCTATTTTATATATGAATCAATAATCTTATATATACTGTATAACAGAAAAGACGTTTGATTAATAAAATTGAATAGGAATTAATATTAACTTAAGAGGCTTGTATATTGTGAGTTAATACAAATGTAAAGTAAAGTTTGTAGATTATGCTAAAAACATAAATTGACATTAATTTTATATATACATGGTCATTAAATATTTAATTACTACCAATAAAACCATTAAATATAAATAAACTTGAATTCATTTTGATTTTTAAAAATGGGATATATGTCAAAAGTATAGTTGCCACATGGCAACTTCTCATAGCTTTGGTTTTGAAGAACTTTAAAATATTATATAAGATAGATATGTGATTTTAAAAAGCAAAAAATATTGAAAATAATATTAAGGTGAACTTAAATTTTGATTTCCAACGAATGATCCCAATTTTTGGGTCCAAAAGTATTTGCTCCATAAGAGTTTTTTTCGATTTCTTATAGAAACCATTTATTCATGTTTTGTCGTCCCATTATCTTTAGTCACCAAGGTACTAATGGATGGACATTGGAACAACTATATTTTGTTACAGTAAGCAAATAAGAAAACAGAGGAAACTATATTTTGTTAGAAGTAAAAAGTGAAAAGTTGTAAAATTTATATTTTGTTACAATTTTTTTTTATAAAGTTAATGGCATATAATCTCTTATACATTATTTGAGAAGTAATTTTCTCAAATTTGCTTATGTATCATCATAAGAATCTCTCACAAATTTTATTATGACATGGCTTCAAAAAAATATGACATGGCAAAAATGAATCAAAACAACATCTTTTACAAAATCTTCTTTAATTATATTTACATTTCTTTTCATAAATAAATCAAAAGAAAATTTAAATAATATTTTATTATAATATTTATGTTTTTCATTAAAAAAATTTTTAAAAATATTTTTTCACAATAAAGTTTTAGAAACGCTTTTTCATATAAATATATTTTTACTGAAATTTATAATAAAGACATAACAAGGTTTTTAAAAAGATTTTATTATCTTTTGTGACAAAAAAATTTCAAATTTATAAATAAATATACGTATTCTTAAAACCAATTAAATTCTAACACAAAAGACAATTTGAAAATAACAAAATCATTTAAGATAAATTGTATATAAAATTTTATATCCTTATATTAAATATATTTTTTTTTAAATCAAAGGTTACATAATTTACATGCTAATATTTTAAAGGCTATTATTCAAATTTTATATTTTAAGAAAACCAGTTTAACATTGTCATATTATATTTAATGTTTTGTAAAAAAAGACTTTGAAAAGTTCAATATAAAATAAAAAAACCAGACCATAGAAAATTGTTCAATGAGTGAAACTAATTTCTAAATCTTATATTTTTCTAATTATCCCATATAAATAAAAATCTTTTTTCTTTAATAAAATATGAAAAAGCGTAAAAGACGTTAACCATAATAAAAATAGAAAACAACAAATGTTTGGAAAACAAAACAAGAGGAAAACGTAGTGTACTTGGTTTATGTTGTATGAAAAAATTTATTAATTTTTTTTTGTTTACAAAAAGTTGCTCACATTAATCTTTTCATATTTCGATGTCGAATTTAGTTTTTATTCAAAATTCAATGTGAAAAAATGATACTTAAAAAAAAAATTATCAATTAGGGGATTCAATTATTTATCAGAAGAATTTCAACTTTTGATAATAGATTGTGCACTCTAATATATTAAACTATTATATATTTTATTTATACGTTTACGTATATAAATAATTAAATGGTATAACTAAACAAAAAATTCATATTATTGAGAAAAAAAGTTTACAACAATATATCAATAACAATGTCTATGATAAAAAAATACATATTTTCAAAGTGTAAAATTCAAAAAAAAATTATAATTAAATTATCCGCGTGTACGCAGGAGAGTCACCTAGTATAATTTTCAGTTGGAGCATGTGTTGACCAAAAAAAAAGTTTGGAGGATGAGATAATTTTAAGTCTTCTACTCACATTTGTTCCCTTTTTTTTTTGGTCACTATAACTCACATTTGTTCAATTAGAGTTAGTATGTAGTAATAAAAATAAACTTATGGTGTATTACAGGTAATTTTCCTTTACTTTTCTCTTTTTTTACCTTATAAAAAATAGAATGAATGGTGACCAAACTCAAGGCACAAAGTCTACAACTTTGGTAAAATAGAAAGATTTTGAAGTCAATTAGTTTGACTTAATAAGAACAAAGTTTTGACTTCTGAGTTCTGAGTAACGAATTTCCGGATACCACAATGGTCTTAGGTAAATGGTAAACCGGTCGTTATGGACCAGTCAAACATAAGCTTAAATATGATATTAATGGGAAGTTGAAAAGGAAAAGAAAATTAACCCAAAAGGTTAAATTTATCCGGAACCGAACTAGGCATATCTATCTATAAAGATATGGTAAACGGCTACATTTCGAAGTGTGTGAAAATTGAGAGCATGGACCATTTCATGTGGTGGTCCCTTCTCGTTCTCTCCATCTCCGTCTGCTTTTGAGCTCTTTTCGAAATTTGTTGACCTCTTTCTTTATCAAAAGGACCACACAAACACACACA